GCGCAGTTTTCGATGAGTCATATCATTCTTAACTTGGACGGAAATGAAATTTGTTACAACGTTGCACTTAGTCTTTCATATTTGTTGTTAGTAATTAAAGACATTTTGAAACACATACGGAATGATGATAATTTTTAAAAATATAATAACACAAAAATGAAAAGGGAACTCGGGTACATTTATCGAGAGTCACAAACAATCCTTCAAAGAGCCGCATGTGGCTTGCGAGCCGCAGGTTGGCCACCCCTGCTATATAAAATGTTGTTACAAAAAAAAACAATGAGTTAAAAGCAATTTTTAATAACTCAACCGAACAAACCTTATTATTAAGAACTTATTAATATTTGTCACAAGTGTGAACATTCTTTAAAAATTCTTTGTTACTTAAATCGGTATCTTTAAAATATGGCAATATATTTGAGGAAGTTCCTATTGCTACTAGGCTTGCCTTATGTTTCACACATTTCAAATAATTTTTAATGTTTGAAACCCACCACGAGTTACTGAAAATTCTGAAAAGCACAGGTTATACTTTACTTTGTCAATACGATCACAGACTTTTTTAAAAAATGGATAATCCTTTTTTCAATCATCAGTAAACACAGTGTTTTTGAAATTTTAGAGATTAAATTAATTTAATGTACAATACAACATAATCGCAAATGCCAACTAGCAAATTGAACTCGACTAAGATAGGATATGCACAACAATGACATGGCCAGTGTTAGTGTTGTCAACTCTAATTGAAACAAAATATCTAAAAAATGAAATAAAAATATCTGGATCTCATAGGCTACATGCTATTATAAATTCTGAGAAAAAATATCTGGATGAAAAAAATAGAACATCTATATTCATTAGGTCATATGCTATAAATTATGGAGGAAAACATCTAGACAGCATACTTTAAAAGTATTTAGATTCAGATACAAAATATTTAGATTGGCAACAGTGAGTGTAATAGAAGAGATTATTTAGTTGCCAATCATCATTTTACCCAAGCTACACTATTTTTACTTCTTGTATATTCAGCACTTTTCAAATTTAACCCAATAACTGGAACAAAATGAAAAACTGACTAATACACTGGGACCACATCATCAAACTGGGACAATCCCGGTCAAAACGGGACACCTGGTAAGCCTATTGCAGGGGGTCGGAATTAGCAGCTCGCGAGCTGTATGCGGCTCTTTGCATAGACGTTTGCGGCTCTTTGGAAATAAACTCCAATTTCATCTCACCTCATTTCATCGCAGCCTTATAACTTATGAGTTTATGAGATAGAGCCACCGAACAAACTTCGACTTGTTCACCTTCCACACATGACTGCACTCGTGTTGATCAATATGAGTCGCATAAGAGTGGTAGCATTTGAAGCATATCTATATACATAACACATTGAACGCGTGTCCATCCATCCGTGTAACATTATGCCAAAAATGGCCACTAGAGGCGCCCCTGTCATGCATCGTATTTCACACATTTAAATTAATATGTGGCTCTCTGGTACTTTTATTATCCTGTTTTCATGACAATTTGGCTCTTCTCACTTGACAAACTGCTGACCCCTGGCCTATAATAATAATACTACTGATTTCATCAAAATTTTGTGAGACTCCTCACTATGTAATTTATTTACATAACTAAATCATAACATAATGTCTTGACAATAAAACTGTCAGATAAGTGTCAACTTTCATACCAGGAGTAAATCATCTGTTAAGTTCTCAGAAGTAAAAGCAACGCTTTCTCATAACCTTCTGACCTACTGTCTTGATTTCATCAGTTCAATATAACAAGTAACTAAAAGTTTAGACAGTCATCATCAGTTCCTCAACTGGGCCCTCTTTTTCTGTGCCTGAAACTTTGGATACATTTGGATACATCATTTTATTATATGTTCAGATATATCATTCTATTATATCGTTGGATACAGCATTTTAATTATCTTACATCATCCTTCTCACCTACAGCCATAGTATCTATTGTACATCCAGAATAAGAACTGTCTTCCTTGTGGCTCACCTCAGATCTTCATCCTCTACAAGGTGCATGTATCCCTGCATGTATCTCATGTGAACTCTCTCTCTCGTGACTGCTAGATAGATAGGATAAGTCGATATAATCCCGATATCGATATATATCGATAGAAGTAAAGTACTTAGACACCAAAGTTAACAACTAAATAACCATTTAATTTCAACGAAAAAAAGTCTATCATATACTCCTTTTCGTTGAAATTGAACGGTTATTTAGTTGTTAACTTTGGTGTCTGAGTACTTTACTTCTATCAGGCTGGCTCTTCATCTCCATCTGGAACCTGATCGCTCGTGCATGCAGCCACTTGCGTGACCTACTTTTTAACAAACTAAATTGCTGCTGTGGCTCCCATGTCAACTGAGACATGGTTGTGTCAGTTCTGACAAGGCATCAAAAAGGTGCTGACCCTCTGGTTACAATTTAATTCTTGATTCAAATGGATCTGATAAATTTTCAAATTTATTCTGATGGTGAATTTAAGTTATCTCTGCAATGTGTTCAGAGTACAGGAACACATTGTGGACATACGTCATCAGAGAAGTACTTCCGTCCTCGCCACATATGCTGCCAGCTCGGACATTATGGTGGCCTTCCACCAGGCGAAACTTGTACACACTACGTCACACAACAAACACCTTAAATGCCTTGAGGCCATTCAAATTTACAAATCGTCCTTCAGTGACAACTTCATCAATTTTAAGGATGAGTCGGTTCTGTCGCCGGCCTGGGCAGGCATTGATGGACTCCAAACTTTACGGGCACAATATGCCAACTAGATGAACACAAATGCATCTCATGTAACACCTTCTAATTGTTTCTCGAATTTCCTTTAACAATTTGCTCTGTCCATCAGTAATTCAGTTTCACACCTGAGGAAGAACTCACAGCAGTTTGAAAACGTTTGTGATGATCTTTATCCTTTGTTTTTATATCACACTGGTTATAGGTTCTTAGAGTGCATATTTTACGTATCCCGGTGTTTTGCAGGGTAGTGTAGGTGTATTTTTTTATTAAATTACTAGGCAAAATTGAAAACGAATTTTTTGTTTTATAGATTTTCTAATATGTACAGTCTATAGAATACTATAGACTTTCCAGGCATTTATACAATGCCTGAATGTCATACTTTGTCAATAACATATACATGTATATAGGTCTATATTTTATTGTACACAATCATTTTTCATATTTAATCATATTTAAAAAGAAATTGTATTTTATTTTTTTTATGTATATATAAATATAGCAAATTTAAAAATTACCTGGTTCTATGATTATATTCCCGGAGAAGAGAAAATTGTTTTGCTATAATAAACTTGAATACTTTCCTTAAATTCAGTATTATATCTTCATCAGTTAAAGCATCTAACTGTAGTAATATTGTAAATCATAATAAAAAATTAATCTATTATTATTGTTAAATTACAGGAACTGCTCTACTTTCAGCACTGGGGTGAAATTAACATTACACTATCCGGAACCTGTTACCAGTGCTCTACGCGTATATATATAGTATATCGCTTGACAAACGTTTTTGAGCGATCCGTTCGCTCTTCTTCCGTTCCTCCCCCACCACACGACCGTGCATGCCGTCCGATCCAACACCCGATCCAAACGAAAAATATACACTCCGACTGGGGAATTTTCAGTCAACCTGAAGAAGAGCGAACAAATTGCTCGAAAACGTTTGTCAAGCAATATACTATATATATACGCGTAGAGCACTGGTAACAGGTTCCAGATAGTGTAACGTTATTATTATTGTTGTTATTATTATTATTATTATTATATTAGAATTAAATAATTCATTAAATCTAAATACAGTAATATCCTGAACTTATGCAATAGATGGGACCGAGCGGTAACCACGTAAGTCGAGGTATAATTTCGCATATAAATGCATACAAATAAGTTTTAATTGGGGCCAGAGACTAAAGAAAACAATAATTTAGAAAAAAATGTTTAATAAAATCTTAGATAATATATATGTATAACAAATTAGGCCTATATTATTTTACAATTTTTCACATTTACTTGATTATTACGCCACAATTTTAACATTGTTTTCATCTCAGCGATAATACTGTGACGTTTACGAATGATGCTTGAATTTAAAGATTGAGCATTTTTCACAGCTTCGAGAATTTTTTCTTTGCCTTTTATAATTGTTCTGACCGACAATTCCGGTAGATCAAACTTCTTTGCCAATTCACAAATTTTCATTTTTGTATCGAAGTCTTTAATAATGGGTACGTTCGTAAAGTCAAACGAGTTAAACGCGTTAGTAACGAATCGTTCGAAAAGTCTAACGAAATAGGAATAACGATGACGTCATTCTCGTTTAACTCGTTCGACTTTACGAACATACCCAATGTTAACTTTACATTCCAAAGATAAAGTTTTTCTTTTCTTGTTTGATGCAGAAGAATTAGTTCTACTTCGTTTGGATGACATAGTAGAGTCTCTCGAGTCTCCGTAGATATAACAAACACAGAAATAAATAACACAAAATAAATTGTAGCTATATGCCGATTCTGCACAACACATCCGAACATGTAAGCAGAACAATAGTGTGGGGGGAATGAGTAATCAAGGGTTGCGTGGTGCTCAAACAAAAGACGAATCGACGAGATTTGAAAATCTCGTAACTCTGGGTTTGCGTAAGTCGGGGTAGCGTAAGTCAAGGTATTACTGTATTGTAAATCTTAAATAATAAAATTTGCATTTACATATCCTGTTGCCATGTCTCTCATTTATATTTAACTATTTTATTGATACTATATTTTCAGTACTCTCAGTTAACTGGGTGCCATTCAATTAATGACATTTAATTGCGTTTACTTCTTGAAATTGTATTTAATTCACAATAGACAGCTTTTGTAGTGATTTTGGATTCAAAGCTACCCTGTCAACTAATATTGTTAAAAATTTATAAAAGTCTATGTTTTTAAACAACACTAGATAAAACCAGTTTATCGCCATAAATGATTAGCATATTCACATGATAACATTACTGTAGTCGTGAAATTTTACATATTATTGTAAATTTTCTGCATTTCTAAAGCTTGATCTATAATTTATTATTGATATTGGAGTTAAATAATATCTGAAAATTAAAATAAAGGTTTTTTTAATTTTTTTTAATGTCACTTTGTATAGTGCTGGTCCTCATATATGTGGCATTAATTATGATGTGATTATGTAAATTAGGTCTATCAATAGGAATTAAGTATCTCCAAGTAGCAGACTGCTTTGATATGTTTAAATTTCTTCTTCTTGACTTCATATTTTGTTTTCGATTTAAAATGGTTTATACACTGTGGAATTTACCAAATGACAAGGAAAGTGCAATATGTTTTTTTCAAAGAAAAGGTATTTTACACAGCAAAAGGTACTATTCAAAAAATCATCCGATGACATTGCATTCTTGCCCCTATGATGTCCCAAGAAAGAGATGCCACACCCACTCCTGTCATGAAAACAAGGGTGTAAAAACTCAGAACTCGTTTGTATGTACTAATGTTTTAATATGTTATCCTACCATAAAAATTGGTGGCCAAAACAAAATTGAAGAAATAGACAAATTTATGTATATATACCAAAAATGAAATGTTTACAGATATATCAAAATTTATGCCACCTGTTTGATACGGTGAAAATTTGTAAATGTTAATTATTTAAAATTTTATACAGTGAGTGATCAGTTAACGAACATAATCCGTTCCAAGACTTTGTTCGCTATACGAGTTGTTCGTTAACCGATTATCGATTTACCATAGGTTTTAATGGGAATTTAATTAATTCGTTCTGGAGACCGCCAAAAATAAAAAAATATATACTTTCTTACTACGTTTATTTATACGTAATAATAAAAATACATACATGCACAGTCTTGCGTTTTTATTAGTCATGTTTTTTTCCGTTTGAAAGGGTTAAAGAATCTGTCTAATGTCGATTGTTTTTCTCTCTTCTTCAGGATTTTACGTAAGTAATTAATAGGATTGCAATTGTAGAAATCACCAAGCCTCAACCTGGTTTGGATGCCATTCTAAGACCGTTGTTCTGACATCTTCCCACTTCTTCAAAAGATCTTTAATAGCAAATATCGGCATTAATCCTCTTTTTCAGAAGAAAACATATCTCGCCGAGTATCTTGGTGTTCTTCATTCAAGAGTTTTTGACGTTCTTTTGTCGTCAGATCCGTTTCAGGTTCCATTATGAACTCTTCGATGTTCTTTATTTCTCAGATGTGACTTTTGTTACTCCTTTAGCTGCTTGAGTCTTCTTGATTATACAGTATTTTTCTTAAATAAGATTGAACTGCGGCCTACTGTAGACCTGTTCACGCCATACTGCCCAGCAACATTAGGCATCTTCTGCCCACTTTCTACCTTTGCTATTATACTCTCACCTTTTGAAAAGAAAAAAAAAAAGACGCAAAACTTAACTTGTGCCTACCCGACAGTCTCGCGAATACATAAAAGAATTGTTTTGTCAGAAAAATAAAAGGCTGGAATTACAAGGGAGAGTTTCAAAGTTCGGAGGAATACTATCCGATCGGTATATACCGGCTTGAGCGTCGATGTCGACGTCTCCCACACTCCGAAAAGTTTCGAATTGTTGCCTGAAGACAAGAGAAGACCAATCAGTATTCATTATTTTATGTCGCTTCTTCTTGTGTTCGTTCTGTGCGGTGTTCGTTATCCGATCATGTGTTCGTTGTCCGAACATAAAAATCTTTCGCGAAAGTGTTCGTTATCCGATTTGTTCGTTATCCGATCTGTTCGTTAACCGATCACCTACTGTAATTTCATAGGTACCTTTTTCTTTAATTTGTTAGCATTATAAAATTACAATGTCTATGTGTAAAAAATGCAAAATGAAATATTGTTTCTTCTAAAAAGGAATAAAAACAATTGGTGCCCAGTAAACTGAAGAGTACTATTTTTTCTTTCAGTTAAAGCAATTACTGAAATATTTTTAACCATACTTACATGTTCGTAGTATTTTTCTAAAGAAGTAATATTAAGTATCATAGGATTATACCCAGAAAACTGAATCATGGCTTCCAACTAAAAAAAAATTTATTAAAAACTTAAGTTAATTAATTTTCAATTAAATTTTTCTTAAAATTATGTTGTTTGATAAACTTGATAACAAATATCATAATATTCTATAAATATATACATAGAATATAATACAGTAGAGCATCGATTATCCGACCCCCAATTAACCGCCACCTCTGTTAACCGACCGCGTTCTAGTCGGCAAATTCAAATGTCTGCTATTGATGTGACACTACAATATTTGGCTATGTCTTGGCTACTTTAACATTATTTTTACGTGTTTTAGCTGGCAATACTGGATCGACCATAAAAGGGAGCCAGTATTTAAACGAGGCTTAATTTTTTAATTTTTAACGATATAATAGCAACGATTATTATTTTTATAAAAAATTTGATAGGCTTAACATGGAGGAAAATTCAATGCGAAGTAGGTTAATAGTGATATACTAATATACTAATTACATGGGATATAATAATACACACTAATAATGGATTTTTTCATACTTTTCGGTTATCTGACTTTTCAATTATCTGACCAACCCCAGTCCCCAATTGAGTCGGATAATCAATGCTCTACTGTATATATATATTTATTAATATAATATATTAGCCACTAAAACTAAAATTTTTTAAATAAAAATATTTATTTGAATACAGTAATTAGAAAGAATTAGAAAAATGTATTGAAACTAAATACTCTGAATATTAAGGAAAATAACTGAGAATGCTAATTATATTGTACAAGGGTTGATCAGAAAAGAAAGCAACAAATTTTTCTCCACATTTACAGTTTAAATTATTTTTCATTTCAATATATCAGTTTGTTACTTTAATTTTCAGCCACTATAAATCATTTTTCAACACAATCTTCTTTCCATGTCCTATGTTACTATGATTTTATGTTTTTTTATATTACCACTCAACATATCTCTGTTACAAACACCACTATTTATAAAATGACTATCTTCCTAAAATTTTTTTCATGAAGTATTTACAGTAATACCTCGATTTTCATTGACTTCAATTATCATCAATTTTGGTTTACATCAATTTTTTTCCCAAAAAATTTGTCTTGGTTTTCTTCGGTTGTCTCAGATTTTGTTGGTGTGCCTATGTGATCTCGCTGCTAATTTTGCAAAACCATGCATTTTCCTGCTTAGTGTGGCATTGTTTCTCTTTGTGACCATTTTCCTGTGTGTCTAGCCAAACAATAGGCATTTTCAAAATTTCAGTGTTCAGCCAGCAACCTCTCAGCATCTCTGTTCAAAATCTCAGATGACTTCCAGTTGCTGTCAGCATGGTTCCAGCAAAATGCAAGCATTTTTTTTGGTGCTTGATACATCAGCAAACAAGGTGGCAGCCACCATGAGGCTCCTAATAGCTCTATTTTGCATTGACAATTTTGAATTTAATTTATTTGTTGATGAATAAACTTTGAATAAATTAATATTTGTATAATATAATAACTTAAAATAAATTAATAGAATATCTTAATATACTAGCATATTTACATAATTTAATAATTACATAATTACATAATATCACATAATTTTTAGTTGTTAAAGTCTAACGTTAGGATTGATTTAATTATTTAAAACTCCTACGGAAATTTAAAAAATCTTCATCTCTATTTCTTTTTTCGAAATTTTTATTTTTTATTAAGCTGTTCTCATTAAATAAGTTCAAAAATAAACTTAATGTAATGTGAAAGTCCACATCTTTTGCCATTTTTATTGTTTTTTCTCTCCCAAAATTCCAGGCAGTCAACATTTGTGTTCTCTAGAACAGCGTTCGGCAATTTTTCTGACCTCACAGACCACTAAACTCAGTTTTCAATTCCGCGGACCACTATCATGAATTTTTTTAAATGATACAAAATCTGTAGAATAATAATCATAAAAGTTCAATTTTACTTTATTAATATAAAACTCGCTTGTTTAATTATAACAAATTAATGCAAGCCTAAAGTTTGTTACTGCTTGTTTGGAATAAGTTCATGGATTCATAGTGCTTTTCCATAAAGGATGACAATTGCACTCACAATAGTGTTTATTGTTCATTATTTATCGATAACAGCAACTTCATATTTGGTTTTAGATTAAAATAAAAAACCCCCAATGTGTGAAAAAAGCAACTAAGCATTTTTCATTTTTTTTGTAATATTTCACGTAACCTTCAGTTGATCAATGTCCAAATTTCTCCACGAACCACCCAAATTTTCTCGTGGACTATCAATGGTCCACAGCCCACTGGTTGCCGACTGCTGCTCTAGAAAACGCCAGCAGTTGCGTCACTTCCAGCAGCATCTCACTGGATTAATGCTGAGATTTTGAATATGCTCAATTCCATTGCTTTCCTTTCCTTTTAGCTCCATCATGGGAAATTCCATGTTAAATATTCATTTATTCTTTACATTAATTTAAAACAAACAGACTAAAAGACTAATTTCTTATCGTTTTTAGTATTAAACACTATATTTATTCTTTATAAAATGTGTTTATGATGTGTATTTTGAAGTGTTTAGTATGAATTAATTGGATTTACATAGATTCATATGGAAATAATTGCCTCAGTTTTCGTCTTTTTCGGATTTCGCCAATTGTTTTTGGATGGATTATCGACTAAAACCAAGGTATTGTGATGTTCGTTATGATACATACTAGATCTTGTGAGCAAGATAGTACAATAAAGTAGACATCGATAACAAAATATTTTTTTTTATAACACAACTTATCTTTATTTTTCACAACAAACTGATTCTTTTTATTGGATCCCAACTTTATGACCTCATATTAATTCAGGTCTGCAGGCATTGAACAAATTTCAATTACACTATCAAACTTTTCTTTTAGCACACAACATATGAACACGGGACGATCTAACTTACTCTATCTTATAACTAACTTACACTACCTTACAACTAGAAGAGCAAAAGGAATAATGGAAATTAAGACTTAAGGACAGAGAGAAAGAATAGAAAATACCCTGGTTTCCTTCTTTGGATTGATGAATTCTGGGATGAGACAACTTCTCCTGATTTTTTTTCTCCTTCTTTGTTTTTCTTTGCTTGCCGTAGACCTTCTTATTTCTCACTAATTTTGGTATTCTACTCAATGTTCGCTTTTCTGTAACTTTTCTCCTGAACCCTTTAGCACCTTGCAGTCTCTCTTCATACTTTCTCTTCTTTCTTTCTTTTTCTCTCTTGAGCACTGCCTTCCACGTGCTTTCCTTTTGGGATCTCTCCACCTAAGACTCCACTCTCTGACCGTTTTTTGCATCAAGGCTTTACACCCTCCTTTGTTTTTCACATGTTCTCAGAATTGGTAGTCTTACCCCCACAGGAGAATGATTAAGAAGGAATGTTCTAGGAAGAATTTTAGAACAAAGAGACAGGAAAGAACTTAAAACTAAATCACAGAAAAATTAATATATACAATATATGGCCGACGGCCACAGTATCACTGTATTTCAAAAGGATCAAGTTGTTGATAGTCAGTAGGTGCATGAATTATACTGTAAAATAGATGAGGTAAACTAGTGTAAGGTTTATGTTTGCTTCTTAAGTATGTAAAACATGTATGTGATCTCTCATTATTATGACAAAGCATTGTCACATCTTTGCAGAAACATACTGGGCCATAACAATTACCCCCATAGATTCCACAATGTTTGAGACCAACAACTAGAAGAAATTTTTAAATTGTCAATAAGGCATATGTTATATTTAATACAGAAACTTCTGTAAAGACTACTTTATTTTAGTACTAAACTGTATAATAAGGACACAGAGGCATATAAATTACCACTTTATTCTGTTTGTTTCGTTACAGTAACAAACATTACCCTAAAACTATTTTACAGCTAGTTAAAGTGTTTTTGTATATCCAACCAAAAGCTGATTGTTTGGCTATATTTTATATCATCACTTCTGGTTTATATTGTATTTAAAGAAACACTTTATCCATTAGCAAACAGTATTATCAACAAACAAATTATTATGATTATAAAATACACTTCAAGCTAACGTTCAAGTAAATAAAATAATTAACACTTCAGTGTTGTGGCATTACAAATTGTAACTTTTTAGATTTTAGATGTATTCACTAGCACTTTCAATAGCTTATTGCTACCATCTTCAGGCAAAAATTAAATACAAATATTTTTGAATGTTTGGCTTTTGAACAAACTTTTGAAATTTATCTAATGAATGGAATTTTTAAAAAATTGATTTTAAAATTGAAACATATTTGAAATTTATAGAAACACACTGCAAATGATGTATCATTTCCAAAAATACTTAAAAAGCAATAAAGAGAATCATATTTGATTGTGGTACAAATGAGAAAGCAAATTATAATTTCAATTGTTTGAATAATGTTGTCCACAGTTGCGAGATTTCTAAGGTGTATTGCACGGTGTTACAGCAGATATACAGGGTGTGGCGTAAAGAGTGGATAACTGTTAACTGCAGATAGGGGATGTCATGACTGTTTAGAAAATGTCCAACAACTCCAATAATTATGACACTTTTACTAAACACAATGTTTAATTTTCTGAACAGTCATGACGTCCCCTATCCACAGGTAATGGATTATCCACTCTTTACATCACACCCTGTATAGAGGTTCTCCCATATGAATAATTCTCTGATTGTTGCACCATTTAAGTAATTTAGTTTGTGTGAGTCAGCATTGGTTGAACATACATTTGAAATGTGAAAAATGTGACTTCTTTGAACTTCCACAGAGACATTCAAATTAATGACCATTTGGCAATAAATCTATCAGCCTGTCTATTTCCCACCATTTCCTTTTACCATAAACCTTGCTGACTGAGAAAACTGGTTTGAACATCTTAAAATGTTTTTCTTTGAGGAAAGTTTACATAATGCTATTTCATTTGAGTTTTGTTCTAAATTTAAAGTTTATAAGTTTATTTGTTCAATAAAATTCATTTTTAAATGTTCAAAAACTAAATTCAATTTATTAGCAAAATAAGAAGCTATCTATTTATTATTAATTTTACTATTATATATTTTTTATTTCGAATTCAAAGTTTTGTCAGTATGTTGTAAATTAGAATAAGTCTTCTACAAGTTTCTAATAAATTACACAATTTTTTTTGTTATTTCTTATCACTTGTAAGTATCAAATGTCTGTCTTAAGTTTTTTTTTTATTATAGTACTAGAATTAAAATTAATATTTTTACTTTATTTTTACCTTTTCATTTTTTCCCTACCAAGTGTGATGTGTTGTATGAAAATGTCTGTCCTGATTATTTTAAATAAAAATCAACACTACAGTACTTCTGAAAGCATAAGCTTGATAATGCAATAACTTGATTGAACCAAAAAACTATCAAATTTAATTCTAAAAAATTGGTTATATGCACATAAAGTTTAACAATTTAAAGTCATTAACTTACTTTATCATATGCTTCATGACGTGTAGCATCATCTAACCAATTTGCTTTTGCAGCAAGGTGTTTGAAGGCTGTTCTAAGATATTTAATCATTTCATCTGCCTAAATAAAAAATATATTTAAGATAATTTAAAAATAAAATTATTATAAATAATTTTGTAATTTATAAAACTTTTTTATGTAAAAATGATGAAACTATAATATCCAATAATATTCCTTTTCTTTTGGTTTAAGATTTCTGTTCATAAGGGTGATAAAAAGCTCTGCAGCAATTTGAAATGGAAGAATATTTTAAAATCTAAAGTTAAAAATTTTTAATATCAATATCAGATGTTCATATTTTTTATATAGTATTGGATGAACATGAATTTCACAAAATATTGTGTAGCAGTTTATTCAGAACTAGCAGACCCCGTCACGCGTTGTTGTGGCTCAAAATGTATCTATTATAAATGTATAACACTTCCCCCGTGGGGAAAATTTTTCAAAAAATTTCTTCTTAGTGTACATTCTGTTGACGTACCCTATTAAAACGCAATCAAAAACGCAAAAAACCGCATTTAAAATAGTAGAAATAGAAGCAGAGTTCTTTACGGTAAGCCTTAATCCTGTTCATCCTGCCAGTGGATGGAATTTCGACATGTATATTATATAAAAACTCGTGCATATTCGAATTGTGTGAAAATTTCAAAGGAATTTATAGGAACAAACGAACATTACATTTTTATTTCTACAGATAGATAGAAGATGATCTGATTTAGTTCATTTTCACAGAAAAGCGTAATGCCTCACAGAAAAGCAAACTTAGGGCATTGTACTCGTAGTGCCATCTGTTGGACATAAAAGTCTTAACCTAGATTATATATTTTAATTTATATGAATGTTTAACGAAATAATATACAGCCTATGTCCACCCTGAAGGTCCATTCTAAATATTGGTGAAAGAACTTTTGAAATCGGATGAGTAGTTTTGGAGATTACCTGCTGCAAACAAACTTACATAAATAATTACAAACATTACCTCTTTATAATATTAGTATAGATTATAACAAACAGTGTGAAGCCCAATACGTATATAGAAACATCACCGAACACTCATCTAAATAAATCAGGCTATAATTCCACTAATTTAATAATTAATACTAAGTAATTTGTTACTAGAGGTTAGATATTAGGCACCATCTCTTATCTAAATTAATAATTATAATTTTTAATAATTTATTAAATTGTGATGGTACACCATGCCTATGTACATAGGGGTTAAATATAAGTTTTATATTAATCTAAATCCTTTGTCTTTCATATCACTGTTTCCAGAACTTTCTCATTCATTCTTTCTCTATGGATGGGGACAATCTATCCAGGAACGAAAAGGGGAAACAAAGGAAAATACAAAAGCCCCAAGGGCGTCAGGAAAAGAGAAACAAACATTCCTGATATAGTGTTCAACGAGAGCAGACGAAAAAAGGAGAGGTTGAAGTCATTGCTGAGTAGAACAAGGAACAGACTTTAGGTCGTCTGAAGGCAAACAAACGAACTGGACTGATGCTAAGATTGAGGGCTTTGAGAATACTTCAGAATTTCCAGAGCTGATACAGAAAAGAACAGAGAAAAGATGAATTGAGCGCAAGCCCCGACATCGAGGAGATCGGAGATTTTCAAAAGACCCAGGTACCCACCAACCTTTTTCTTATACTTTTCTGATTCTTTCGTATTTCTTCTCTTTTACTCTTCTTCTTTAGTATATAAGTTAGATTAAGATAGTTTAAGTTAATTATAGTTTTACGGGAATATATCCCAAGTTAAACCTTTTGTTTGTCGCGGACACGTGTCACCTGCCTTTGTTCACACAAAGGATATATCGAAACTGTATTGTATATATAGGAACTACATAGTTTGGGATCCTAAAGAATCAAGTGTACATAGGACCATGTGAAAAAAAAAATAAAACCTTTTTATACAACTTTGTATTATATTGTTCGTCCACTAAACACCACAAAATAATTTAGAACTATCTGGAAGAAAAGAACTGACGTGGGGCGGGGTTTGAACCCGCAACCCGCAGATGTATTTAAATTTTATATTAAAATTTAAATACATCTGGAAGCAAAAACTTGCATGAGGTCCAGGTGACACAACTAGCAAGCACACTGCAAGGCAAGTGGAGGTTGTGGGTTCAAGCCCCGCCCCGCGTCAGTTCTTTTCTTCCAGATAGTTCTAAATTATTTAATAATTATAATTTTTAATAATTTGTTAATTTAAATAAGAGATGGTGCCTAATATCTAACCTCTAGTAGCAAATTATTTAGTATTAATTATTAAATTAGTGTAATTATATTATTTAGTTGATTGTTTGATGATGTTTCTTTATTCAGAACTGCATTATAGTTAAAACTAACAATTAAAATTTGAAGTTAAAGAAGCTTTAAAAACCTTTATTAACAATTTATAACTTTTTACACATATATTGTAAATTTGTGGATTTTATTTAATATAATATCTTGAATTTGCATTCCAGACAATGCTAAGTAAACAAAAATAGGATAAGTACAAAAATACAATGCTTCAGGAAAAGAATATCTCACTTCAAATGCACTCTAAATATTAATTTGTTAATTTAATAAAATTAAAAATGTATTATATATAGTATATATATTTGTTTATTAAATAAAAATTTTGTATTTTCAAATTTTGTTAAAATAACTATTAAATTACATAGCAAGTTTGCAAAATTAAAATTGTCATACTTTGTATAAATTTTTATATAAAAAAATATTCAATATCTTTCCATTTACTAATTAAATTATAAATGCACTTACATATGCTTCTGAAATGTTTTTATTACTGACATATAAATGGTCCATTGCAAGTGGCATGCTTTTTACTGAAAGTTCAAGGCAAGGTTTCCATGGCTGAACTTCTTTTGATGGTGAAATCTGATATATACCAATTTTTGTAGAAAATATTAAAGCAGCAAAACTTCCAATGTAATTTGCTATAATTCTATTAAATGAAACATTATAGTAAAATTAGATTATTATATAAAAATAAGACTTTTTTTAATACAGTAAAACCTGTGAAAACCAGACCATACAAAATATTTTTCCCATTTTGGCTATTTCATTTTGAGTAAGTTTTAGTATTTTTTTCCTTATTGTCTTTAAGCTATACAAGATAAGTATCACACAGTTGTGTATTTTTATAGTAAAATAACTTTTACATATGTAAAAAAGTTTTATTACTAAGTTTAATCCAAATTAATCCAAAGTGATTCCAACTAAAAATGTGAATACAAGTAAGCTCCACTTTATGATAAGGATACATTCCAAGAAATATGTCATCAGGAGAACATCACAGACAAATATTTGGTATACTGTATAGTCTTTTGCCTATTACTCATACAGGCTATAACACAACTGCAATACAATGATGTAGTGATCTGTCACTTAAATTAATCTGTTTGTTTGTTTTTTTTTTTTGTTTTTTTGTAATTTTTCGCACCTGTTCCGTTCGTGCTCAGGCACCACATTTTTGTAAAACCCGCAGGACTTTATGATTGGTTGCGATTCATGACGTCAAACAAGGAGAAATATAAATGGAGGTGTTTCACCTGAGTGGAGTACTTTTTGCTCTTCGGACTTGGCCGGATACTTTGTCTACGTGAGGTATAAGTGTTTAAGCACGTGATTGAAAGGAGAAGAAAGAATAAGAATCCAATTTCATCCAGGTCTAGGAGCAAGACGTTGATGCGAATTGAATATACATTCCTTCGCAATTAACGAAGGACACATGTAAGACCATTTTGTTTTGTTCTTTGTTTGTACTATCCCTCACAGAGGTATTAGAGTAGTGCTTAGATATATATATGTGTTACGCGTGAATTAAGTCTGTATAGGATATATGGATATAGGTATAATTGTCAGTGTATCAAGAAGCCTGTAAGACCCTGAAATAAATAATTTTTCCTCACTTGTGAAAACAAAAGTTCAGTCTGGCATTGTGAGAATATCACAATAAATAATTGCTTGTTCAATTCTAAAAAGTTCTCACTGTTTCCAAGAACTTAGATAGGTATTCAAATATTTCTCAGATGTGATCTTTATGAGCCCTCACAACAATGCTAATAAGTGTAAAGTCCTTAAATTGGTATTTTTTTTTTTTTTTGTTTATTGCCTATTACCCTACATTGTACACTGTATACTCAGATATAGCAGGAAATTAACAATGATAAGTATTTAGATATCTAAACATAGAAAAGATATACTGATAAAAATTTTTCAACACCATTATCTTATTGAACTGCCATCATAAATGTAATCTGTTGTTAAACAATGCATACTTGTGTACTATTTGAATGCACAAATTGAAAGTTATTGGGCTGCAATTTGAAAAAATTGTAAACCTATAAATTCCTGCTGTCATCCGTCTTTTCTTAATCTCGAGAATGGAGTTAGATGAAAGCCAAGACTAGATATGGAAAGATTAGGGGCAGGAGGCCCTGATTAACTATATACAAACTTCTGGTAACCAGAAGTCACATTATTTCAATTCAAAAATTTTTCCCTGAAAGAAGTTAGATGATCCTCACAACTATTGTTCATGGAAAAGCATGATGTACTGTACAGAGGCAAGACACTACTAATTTGAGCTGGAGAACATATATTTTAAATTTAAAAATTATTAAAAATATGATTAAAAATTTCAGTCTGTCATTGTGAGAATATCACAATAAATAATTGCTTGTTCAATTCTAAAAAGTTCTCACTGTTTCCAAAAACTTAGATAGGTATTCAAATATTTCTCAGATGTGATCTTTATGAGCCCTCACAACAATGCTAATTTAAGTGCCAAGAACTAGTGACTCATTCTACTGACAGAAATTCTAATTGCATTACAATAATATAGAGATTAAGATATTCTGTGATCTAATTCTGAGGAATTTTGATACTCTGATTAATCATTCTTCAATCTCTGTAATTACCAACACTGTTTACCAACTTGTTCTTAAATACCCAGCACTAGTTAGTTCCTAGTGTTTTTTTCTGTTTAGGCAGGTCTCTGATCCAGACAAGTTTTACTGTATAACAACACACATTTTCAATAAAGTATTTTTAACAAAATAAACATTCTTTCTGATTCATACATTTTACTGAAATCTATAAATGCCATTTAAAATAAACAAAATCATCATTACTTTTCATGAAATCATTTATTGATATAAAATAAAAAAATTTTAAATATAATTAAGTTCAATTATTCCCAAGGAAAAGTAATTGAATTTAAGTTTTGGTTTTATTCTGCCTGTGAAATTTAACATTTCACACATGATAAAAAACACAACAACTTAACATGACTTTACAATAATATGAATTTATATTGGAAATTTATATTAAATTAAATTTACATTTATATTGGAAAATTCATTATATGTATATTGTAATACAGTCAAATCCCTTCATAGAATATTTATCAGAATAAGAAAATATATTATTGTAGAGAGATTTATTATCATAGTGAGAGTTTTTAAAAAAGTATTCCCTTCCTCACTTAACTTTGTCTGACTACAAATAGGGTTATTTCTACAAAGCTAGAAAATAGTAGAACAGAAAAACTTATAGTATGATATTATAACTAGGCAGGTGCAACAGGTGCATCCACACAGGGCCTACTTGGAAGAGACCCAAAATGCATGTATTTGTTTTATTATTTTTTCAAACCTAATTAATTAAGGAGCCTAAATGCAAATCCTTGCACAGGGCATGGGAATGGCTAGTTACAGCACTGATTATACGTATCTTAAACAATCTGTCTAATAATATATAGTCTGGCTATGTATCTATACATTATTAAACATAGCCAATTGTCTTAAATACTCAGCCATGATTAACTGCACTATCTAAATTTAAATACATCGGGAAGCAAAAGCTTGCTTGAGGTCCAAGTGGTGCAATTGGCAAGTACACTGCACAGCAAGCAGAGGTTGCAGGTTCAAGCTTTGCCCCAGGCCAGTTCTTTTCTTCCAAATGATTATAAATTATTTAAATTATAATCATTAATTTAGATAAGAGATGGCGCCTAATATCTAACCTCTAGTAGCAAATTACTTAGTATTAATTATTAGAAATAGTAGATTTATAACTCAAGTATTTAAGGCAATCATTTGGCTATGTATATTATTCTTAGATGAATTAAATTTTGTGATAATCTAACTAGTGACTTAAATTTTAGGGCTTATCATACCAGTGAATTTGATATTACAAACAAAAGTAATTTATCTATGTAAATTTTACAATTAGTATAGAATAAAAATAATTACAATTAATAATTACAATAATTTAATCTTAAAGATATACTAATACAGCAGAGTGTCGATTATCCGAATCAATTGGGGACTGGGGTTATTTGGAAAATCAATTTTTTGGCTATGTACAAAACAATACATTATTAATGTACTATATTAATATATCCGAATAACAGTATATTAATATATCCCATTTTTAAATTTTTCTCCATTGCATGTCGCTTTGCATTGAATTTTCATTGATGTTAAGCCTAACAAAAATTTTTATAATAATAATTGTGACTATTGTATTGTTAAAAATTATTTCTTTATTTTGTACAAACAAAATAAATATATTGAAAAATATAAAAACAATAAAAAATTATACTTCAGAAGTTAATTTAGTATCAAAAATGTAAAATATTTGAGTAGCCCAAGACATAGCCAAAGATTGCAGTGCCACAGCACTGGCGAAAATTAAAATTTGCCGACTGGAATTCTTTCGGATAATTGAC